CATTTGGGTAATAGCAATAGATGGTTATGCTAAGATTTACAGAGTAGTCGAACCAAAACGACAAAGGTAAATTGAATAAAAGTTTTGAAATATATATAAATATATAAATATATTTTCGCATACATAAAAGCAAAAAATAATAATTGATAATAATTATTAATATAGATTAAAGAAAGCTGAAGACGAGTTAAGAGCTATAGAGGCAATAGTTGCTAAGAAACAACAAGAACTTGCCGAAGTGGAAAGAAAAATCATAGAATTGCAACAACAATACGATGCAGCTCTACAAAATTTGAATAAATTAGAAGCCGAAATGAATTTAGCAGAAACAAGATTGAATAGATCTGGACGATTAACATCTGCATTAGTGGATGAACGAGTTCGATGGGAAGAATTGACACGCGTATGATAAAAAAAATTATATTAAAATATATAATTGTATTAAAACATATAATATAATGAATTATAATCAGTTTCTTTTTTATGTAAATGTTTAGGGTTTTGAACAGCAAATTAACAATTTGACTGGTGATATTTTGGTAGCTGCTGGTGCTCTTGCTTATCTGGGTGCTTTTACAAATGAATACAGAGAAGAATTGATAGAATCTTGGTTATCTCATTGCAAGAACTACGATATTGATACCACAGAAAATTATAGTCTCATTGCAATTTTAGCTGATCCTTATGAAATTCGTCAATGGAATACGTATGGTTTACCACGAGATAAAGTTAGTATAGAAAATGGTATTTTTGTAACACAATCCACTCGCTGGCCTTTAATGATTGATCCTCAAGAACAAGTAATTATTTTTATAGCATATGAAATATACTCAAACTTAATACTTGTTTGTAAACTATATTCTATTTTCTAAGGCAAATAGGTGGATACGAAATATGGAACAAGACAATAATTTGAAAATATGCAAACTGACGGATACATACTTAATGAGAATACTAGAGGCATCTATACGGCTTGGAACTCCTGTATTAATTCAGGAAGTAGGAGAAGTATTGGATCCAAGTTTAGAACCAATTCTGCTTAAACAAATTTTCATTTTGGTATATATTTATTTATTATTTATTGTTTATGCGATAATTACTTTAATAATATTACTTGATATAATTATATAGGGTGGTAGAACATTAATAAGATTTGGCGATACAGATGTTGAGTATGATGATAATTTTAAATTATACATTACAACAAAAATCGCAAATCCTCATTATTTACCAGAAATTTGTATTAAAGTAACAATAGTTAATTTTACTGTAACCACAGGCGGTCTCGAAGAACAATTACTCGCGTATGTATTTCTTTTGTTACAATAATATTAAAGTTATTTATCTAAATGCAAAATATGTATATTTAATTTCTAAATTTTCTATTTTCTTAAATTTTATATAGAGATGTTGTACGTTTAGAAAAGCCAGATCTTGAATCAATGAGAAATTACTTAATAATAAAAATCAATGCAGATAAAGGTCAATTGCAAAACATTGAAGACAAAATTTTAACATTGTTGTATGGTGCAGGCGATGATATTTTGGACAACGAGGAGTTAATAGAAACTTTAAATGATAGTAAAGAAACTTCAGCAATTATCGCAATGAGATTAATTGAAAGTGAAGCGACTGAAAAAAATATATCAATTGCGCGTGAAAGATATCGATCTGTTGCGAATCGTGGATCAGTTTTATATTTTGTAGTTGCAAATCTTGCAAATATAGATCCCATGTATCAATTCTCATTAAAATACTTTAATCAAGTAAATAATAATATGATGAATAATTATATTTTTGCAGTTTGCAATTTGTAACATTTTTCAACTTTCTATTAGATATTTAATACGATAATTGAGACTACTAAAAAAGAAGATATTTTACAATTACGTTTGCAAATATTATTAAATGAAATAACATTAGCTATTTATACAAATGTTTCGCGAGGTTTATTCGAGAAACATAAATTAGTCTTCAGTTTTATGCTTAACATTGCAATAGATATGAATGATGAGATTGTATCCATGATACAGTGGAATTTTTTGTTAAGAGGACCTACTCGAATTGTCGTTGTAAGTTATGTTTTGTCTTAAGGATCATAATTAATATCTTTCAAATATTATTAAATATTTGAATTTCAAATAGGAAGAAATGCCAGATTATCCAACTTTAACAACTACAATATGGACTTCAATCAATTATTTAGCAAAGACATTCGATAGCTTTAAAAATATTTTAAGTGATGCATTTAAAGAAATTATAATAACTATTGGATATTTTGAAGAAGTAATATATCGTTTTTTTTATTTTCATTTCAATTTTGATTATGAATAATATATAACATTTCGATTTTTTTTTAGGATATTAATATAATTCCCACCAATCAAGAAATTGCTGCTTACGATTGGAATAATAATCTAACTGATATTGAAAAATTATTGTTGCTAAAAGCTTTGAGAGAAGAACATTTAATTTTTGCTATTACAGCTTATGTATCAAAACATTTGGGACCTAAATTTGTAGAATCACCTATGGTAACATTACAACTTTTGTATGTATAAAAAAATTGTAAATTATATTCAAAATTATTGTTTTGATGCCATAAAGATAAATTTATTACTAAATATTTTCAGATTTGCAGATACATCATGCAAAATACCATTGATTTTTATTCTTACAACTGGATCAGATCCCTTCAGTGCTTTCCAAAAATTTGCACATGAAATGGATTTCTCCAATAGATATGATTCAATTTCTTTAGGGCAAGGCCAAGGTCCTATTGCAGAAGGGCATATACGAACAGGTACTGTAGAAGGCAGATGGGTATTTTTACAAAATTGTCACTTAGCTACTTCATGGATGGTCAATATGGAACAAATTGTGATGGCAATTGCTGAGGAACCAAAAGGAGTAATTCATGCTGATTTTCGATTATTTTTGAGTTCGATGCCAAGCAAAGCTTTCCCAGTTTCTGTTCTTCAGAATTCTGTAAAAGTTACTAATGAGCCACCAAAAGGTCTAAAAGCCAATATTAAGAGAGCATTATATGAATTGGACGAGGAATTTTTTGAACAACACAGTAAAAAAAAATTTTTAATAGTTGAAACATAAAATATTATTAACAATTTTAATTTTTCTTTATTTAATGTACAGTTTTAGATGAAAATTGGCGCAAACTTATATTCGGAATTTGTTTCTTCCATGCAATTATTCAAGAACGAAAAAAATTTGGACCATTAGGATGGAATATTGTATATGAATTTAATGATAGCGATAGAGAATGTTGTTTACAAAATTTAAAATTATTTTGTATATCAGAGCATATACCTTGGAATGCATTAACATATATTACAGGTTGTAAAATATTTCTCAAATTTTTTTTTGGCAAAAGTTAAGAAGGATTTCAAAACTACATTATATTCATTATACATATATCAATTCATTTTAGGTGAAATTACTTATGGAGGTAGAGTTACAGATAGTTGGGATTTAAGATGTATGAAAACAATTCTAACTATTTTCTTTTCTCCTCAAACTTTGACTTTGAGTAAGTAATTTAAAATGAAATCATAATTAAAAATACAAAACATGTATTTACATAATTATTAATATAAAATATCATAGATTATATTTATTCACCATCTGGAAAATATTATTGTCCTGCATACAAGACTTTACAAGAATACAAAGATTTTATAGAAACTTTTTCTATAATTGATGATCCAGAATATTTGGAATGCACGAAAATGCAAATATTGCTTATCAGGTAATCAAAAATATTCAAATATAATCAGAGGAAACATCATTTCCTTAATTTATATTTATATTATTATCATATCAGTTGAGAGAAACGCACTTCATCTTAGAAACTATTTTGGATGTGCAACCACAAGAAATTACTAGTGATGAAGATAAATCTGCTGCAGATATAATACATGATCTAGCTGAATTGATTGCTGAAAAAATTCAGTTAAAAATAGATCCTAAACAATGTAATCCTGAACATTTAAAAGTAAACAATAATTTTAATTTTATAATATTGATATATATTATTAATTATAAAATAAAAATTGTTACAAAATTTTTATAGAGAGATTCAGTAGGAAGACTTCCATCTCTAACTATTGTTCTCCTTCAAGAAGTTGACAGATATAATAAACTTTTAAGCATAATACATAAATCAATAAAAGATTTAGAACTAGCCATCAAAGGTTTTGTTGTCATGTCTGAAGAATTAGAAAATGTTTTTATAGCTCTTATCAACAATCAAGTTCTGTTACAATTATTATTTTTTTCATCCATTAATTCTTTAAAAAATATTTTTTCTATAAAAAAATTTATATTCTTAATTACTTTCATAGTTTTTCTTAATAATATATAATAAATTAGGTACCAGAAATGTGGCATAATGTAAATATCTATCCATCTTTAAAAACCTTAGGAAGCTGGATTAAGAATTTGGAGCTAAGAATTGACTTTATTCAAGTAAAACTAAAAATAAAAAATTAAAAAAATAAAAAAAAATTACTAAACTGTAGTTTAGTAATTATTATACATTACAGATTTGGTTAATTGATGTAAAACCAATTTCTTTTTGGATTTCGGGTTTTTCTTTTCCTCAAGGATTTTTAACTGGCATGTTACAAACATGTGCGAGAAAATATAACATTCCTATAGACCACTTAAAGTTAGATTTCGTTGCCAAAAATATTTTACTTGATCAAGAAGAAATAAAAATAGAACATGAAAAATCTGGAAAGGAGGTTTAATTGTTATAAATATTTTATTACTGAAAATAATACAACAAAATATAAGAATAATAATAATAATAATAGTAATAATAATAATAATAATAGGTAACAGAAGTATATAAAAACTTACAAGTCCCAGAAGATGGAGTTCTAATACATGGGTTATTCATTGATGCTGGTAGATGGGATTTTAAATCCATGCAATTAATAGATGAATATTTAGGTAAAATGTTAATTTTGGAATTTGGAAAATAATATATTATTGAGAAAATGTAATTAGATTATCTATTTTAGGTGAAATGCATCCATCTCTTCCAGTTTTACATATAAATCCAATATTAGAACTTCCAGAAGATGATCCAAGATATGTTTGTCCTTTATATAAAACAGCAATTCGAGCAGGTGTATTGTCTACAACTGGACATAGTACAAATTTTGTTCTTGCAATTCTACTTCCATCTGAAAAGGAACAATCACATTGGATTTTGAAAGGAACGGCACTTCTAATTGAAATTATAAATTAAATTTTTTATGTTATATCTAATATATTAATTAACAAGTCAGATACAATAATTGAAACATAAATTTAGAATTTCATATATTTATATTTATGTTATATACATACTTTACAATATAAAGATTTTAAATAAATATTAGTACAAATGAATATATATTTTAATTGCAATGCAAATAATTGAAAAAATGACAATATGTATAAATAGAAATCAAAACAATTCTTTTTGTTTTCTCTTTACAAAATTAACATGATAATTGTAATCCTCTTTGTCAATCATCCACATTAAGGCCATATAAACTGTGAGTATTGAAGCCAATAATAACCTGTCTAATCTATAAAATATTTAAATTCAATTACTTATTTAATTTAAACAGTCTGTGTATTATTATATAAAAAATTTAAAAACATATCTTACGTCATATAAGGATATATCCATAAAATAATAAGAAATCCTGTAAAACTTGGATGTCTCATATGTGAATAATAACGTAATAATTTTTTAGATTTCATTTCATTAGGACTTGGTCTAAATGAAAATTTGTAATATACTTGTTTTATTCCAGCTAATTCAGATATATCCATCATTAAACATCCACTATAAATTATTGACCAAACCAACACATGAAGAGCAGTGAACATGAACCACAAAACATTGTTAGAAATAATATTAACTTTCCATAATATAATGGATGAAATAATTTGCCATTTATTGAATAATAAATGAAGAGCCATAGCACTAGTAACATTATAAATACTTCTTTCCATATAATCTATTTGTAGTTTACAAAATAAATGTTTTATGAAATCATTAGCCATAAGTGAATGTTGTAATATAAAAATACTTAATAGAAACATATTTATTATTAACAACCATAATACAGAATCTTTATCTGTAATATAAATTTGTAAAATAAAAAATGAATTATAAACATAAAATATTGTATATTTTTTTTTTTTTGGTAAATATTCAAAAGATTATAAAAAGATTATAATTACTATTACTATTATTATTATTATTACTTACTCTTTTGTGATGAGATAATTGCTTCTTTATTTTCATCGTAATTCGATAAAAAATATGTTAAATTACACAAAACATAAAAAGTATACAAAAAGCAAATAATACAAATCACTACACTAATATATTTTACGAACATTTTTATAAATAGTTAAAAATTATTTATATATTATTAAAATAATATATAATTATTATATTATATTATATTAATATATTAATCATTATAAACACTATAATGGTATATAAATAATTTTATATACAGTAATCAATAATGTTTTGATTCGACTTTCAATTTGTGTAAGTACTTGTTTATTTACAGAATTTATAAATATCATTAAATTTATAAGAAATAGATATGAATCTTTATTGGAACTATGAGAGAGACATCTGATTGTCCATATTGGCGCGAATTCATATTATTTTAAAATATTTATCATTTGGATATATGCCACAATATATGAAAAATATAATAAAAATAAGTAAGAAAATCTTTTAATCTTCTTATATAATAAGATTTTCAAATAATTATTATTTATCTATTTTTAATTACAATATTATTATTTTTTTAAGTTGATACAATATAAAATTTGGACAACGCCTGTCGAACCGATTGTCATCAATGACTGTAGTGTTTCGTATTATCTGTATCATCGGTTTGGAATGCAACTTTCCGTCAAAAGAGAAGGTCAGGTTAACTTTCAATCGTGTGGTTTAGAAATTTGCACGTCAGTTAGCTGGCTTTTAAAAAAACTTGGGTGGTATTTGTCAATATCTAATTTGTAAGTATTTAATATGAAATAGTATTTAATATGCATTATATATACATAAAGTAATATTTTTTAAAGAATGCATGAAATGTAATATAAAATTTTGCAATAATAATTTCTCTTCAATTATCATTGTAATAAATATATTTTCAAAATTTGATAAAATATTATTACATTTATTATCAATAAATAATTAAAAAATATATCATACAACTATATTTTTAAATGTTTTCTAAATATTATTTTTATCAAAAATAATAACAAAAACTATAACGATAATCTTTTGAATACTAGAAACTTTAGCTTTTGATTAAAGTATTTTGCATAATTTTTAAGTATTTTTATATTTGCTTTAATTATAAAATATCTAATTATGAAAATAAATTTAATAAGAAATGAAATAGAGAAGATACTTGAAAAAATTGAAGTAAAAATAATACAATTTACAATTATATAATGACTTAAATTACAATTACAATTAATTACAATTAATTAATCAATTTTTATTATATTTTTATAGTTGGTCCAAGATGTCAAATCCTGCAGAACGTTTGAACTATATTCAGGATAGCAGCAGTGATACAGAAACAGATAAAGAAACGGGTGGTAGAGGACGTCATCGTATTTATAAAAATAGAATGAGGTACTATGTAAAAGATAATATTCAATATAAAAAAAAAATATATATAGATATTTTAGATATCTCTAGATATTTCTAGATATTTTAGATATTTTATTATTAGTATAATTTTTTTAGTTTATTAAAATAACTATTTTAGATTATTGGTATTATAAAAGTTTCATTTGTAATCTATATTGTCTTTAAAATATCTATTTTAATAATTACATATTTAAAATCAAGCATGTATTAAAGAATGTTATGTAGAATGTCATGCATGTCAGATTTTTTTTTAATTGAAAGTTATAAATTATTACTTTTCATTTTAATATTAGATTCAATCAAAAAAATATATATTAAAATTATTATTTACATAATATAATATATTAAAATTATATATATTACATATATATTATTATAAATGTATATTAAAATTATATTATTTACATAAATGTGTATTAAAACAGTATAATATAATTTATTCTATTTTATATGATTATTTTTAATATGATTATTCCAAAAAAAATTTAATTTATATTATATAATTAAATATGTATTTATAGTTATATCATTTAAAATTTCTAAAGATTTATTTGATTTCATTTATTTATTTCTTTATTCATTATTAAAATAAATCTTGAAATAATAATAAATTAAATAAATAACTAGAAAACTATATTATAATTAAATTACTTTTGCAATAAAAATTTTATATATATATACACTTATTTATCATTTAAATTAATTCCTATCTTATATATTAGATTAATAGATAGTACACAATGCTTGTTGTCGAATGCAAATATTAGAAAGGTAATGTTGTTGTTTTGCATGTAGTTGTGGTGGCTCTTCAAAACCAAAATCTTGTTTGGTACAAAGAGATGGGAGCAATGAAAGACACTGTCATTCCTTCAATTCTGGGAGACAAAATACTAATATTAATCAACAAAACAGGTAATATTCACATATGAATGCATGATTGAAACAAAATTTTATCTTAATTTTAAAATATATTTGATAATGATTTTAAGTTAATATTTGATAGTGTTAATTATTGTATATTTTTGAGGATTATATTTTTATTTCTTATATTATACAAGAATCCAGGAATCATAAACAGGTAGGTGTTAGTTATATATTTATTCAATACTTTGCATTGCTTTATATGTTTATTAGTCATAATTCCTTTGTTTCATGTAGGTATTAATATTAAGTGATCTTCAGTAGTCACTTAGAACCATATTTTTCTTCAGACTTTGCTCTGGAGTTGGTGTTGGAAAAAGTCAACAAAATCAAAGTAGAGACAATTTACCATCATCAGGATCTGTTACTGGTATAAATAATCCACAAGCAAGTGACGAACGCATTACTCTTATTGTTGATAATACTAGGTAAATTTATTTAACATATTTTTAATTGTTAATATAATTATATTAAATTAGAAGATAAATTTTGCTTTTAGATTTATTGTTGATCCTGCATTATTTACTGCACATCCAAATACAATGTTAGGTAGAATGTTTAGTTCTGGGGTTGAATATGCTCAACCAAATGAACGTGGGGAATATGAAGTTGCAGATGGTATATCTGCTATGGTGTTTAGAGCTATTCTTGATTATTATAAAGGTGGTGTAATTCGATGTCCTCCGACAGTTGCCGTTCAAGAATTACGAGAAGCTTGCGATTATCTACTAGTTCCATTTGACGCTAATACAGTAAAATGTCAAAATTTGAGTAAGTAATTATATATGAATATATATATATATATATATATATATATATATATATATATATATATATATTATTATATATATA